GTCCGTACCCCAAAGAAGACAGGTGCTTCCGGTCGGAGCTGGCCGCGATTTCCCAATAGTTGTGTCCTGGCGAATTGCTTGGTTGGGAAAGCTGGCGGGGGCCGCGGGGGGGGGTCTGCGAGGGAGACGCTTGCTTGAGGGTCTGTGCTTCGAGGGGGTGCAAGAGTAACGTGGGGTGCCAGCATTTACAGGATTGGGTCTTTGTTCTTTAGGAAAGGCTTCAATTCCAGCCTTAGGAATGAGTGAATGAATGAATGAATGGGTGAATGAATGACCTTGAGGGGGGCTGACCGGGGAGGGGCTGCACTGGATGAAGAGAAACAAGAGTTCTTGATGGCATCTGCTTCTGAAGTTGGGCCCTGGACAGTCCTGGGGTGTTAAATTCAGTGGAAAAAAAAATTGGCCTTCCTGGGAGGAAAGAGCGTGGGCCAGACCCAAGACCGAGGGATGGAAGCAGGTAAGTCCCAGCTCCCCGGGACTGGTCTGGCCTGGTCCGGGCCTCCTCTGTAGGTCTAGTCCACGGTTTAAAGGGCCCCGCCCTGCCCCACCCTACCTGGTGGACTGGGGAGGCTCCTATTGCAGGTATGTGGAGGGTTTGAACTCCAAACAGTGCCTGCTGACTGTAAACACCTGTAGGGTGGGGGCTTTGGGGTTCTGGTCTCTTGGAGGCCTCCCCTGCTTGGGCCTGTCTTGCCAGTCATGCGCTGCTGAGTGAGCTCTGCCCTTCCCACTCCCTTTAAGTAAGGGGTCATTTGTGGTGGGAGATGCGGTTTAGACTTCTCCATTCCTCCCAAGACTGGCCTGCACTTCCCACACCTTTGGGCTTCTTGGAGCAGACTGCCATGCATTCCCTTCCCAGAGGTTCCACTGTTGGGGCCACCTGTGGTTACTGTTTGTGCCTGTCACTCATTAGCATATCTTGGCTGAATTTTTACTATGTGCCCCATATTAGGAAGACATTTGGTGAACAAACAAGATCCCTGCCCATGTTCTATCATAATGATTCCTGCCACCTTGAGTTTGCCCACTAAGTCCTTTTTCTGCACCCAGCTCCCTGCCCCCTTGTCAGGTACCTGAGTGTGCTTCCCATTAGGCCTGGCTGGCGGGTCACTGCACACGGCTGAGCAGTATTGTTGGCTTAGGTCTTACCTGCCTGGCACTGGCTCCTGTGGATTGAAATCTGCACATTTTCTTTGGTCTCTGTGTCCTTCCCGCGTGCCCCGCCTCCCCTGCTCCTCCATACATACCCTGTCGGCAGCATTTTTCATGGCCAGTTGAGTCACTGACTTTGTTTCTCTCAGTGAAGCACGACTTCTGCAAGCACGTCAGTCTTCTACTTGAAAAAGTCCCTCTGGCAGCCTCTGGTGTTGCCGCTGGGTAACTCCAAACTCACCTGCATGCCTTGCACTTGACTGATCTTTTTTTTTGGGGGGGGGGGCTTGCACTCTGGACTTGGGCACTGTCCCTGTTCTTTTCTGCTCAAGGCTAGCCCTTTTCCACTTTGAGCCACAGCTTCACTTCTGGTTTTCTGGTGGTTAGCTGGAGATACGGGTCTCACGGACTTTCCTGCCTGGGCTGACTTCAAACAGCTATTCTCACAGCTCAGCCTCCTGAGTAGCTAGGGTTTCAGGAGTGAGCCAGCAGTGCCCAGCTCGACTAATGGTTTCATCTAAATGAAGTCTACACACATCTTGCAAGCCCTCCACTCTCCATCTCGCCTTCCAGCTTCCTTTTTTTTTTCTTGTGTGTGTGTGACAAATATCCTGTTGATTCTTTCTTCATCATGTCTTCCATGAAGCTGGCAGTTGCTCCTTTTCCGTATTTTCTGTGACTTCCTCTCTTGGTGAGTTCCTGGAACTGCCTTCTGACCCTGCTCTGCTCCAGTGCATTTGGCGTTGTTGGCAGCACTGCCTCCTGCAGTTCTGCATGCTTGGCCTTTTTACTACCTGCTGCTGCTCAGGCCTGAGCTGGTTTTATCGCCTTTTGCTTGGGGTAGGGGTGGGGGCTCCTCCCTATTTCTCTTTGTTGCTTTCTTCCCTACCCATCCCCCAGCCACATGACCTCCTTGCCTTCCTCTGAGGAAGGCCCCCTGCTCACTTCCTGCCTCTCTTGCGCCCCACTATTGGTGTGCTGAGTTCCCTATGTTCAGTCCCACCCGGCCTGCCTGAAACATGGCCTGGGGTGAGTGCCAGCACTGCCCCTACACATCTGCCATGCAGCCTGACAGGACTGGGAGCTGAGAAAATGTACTGCTAACCATAGTATGTGACTTAGAGTCATAACCAGGTCATTAGGCTATAATGCTCTCTTGAAGACGGAGCCAAGCACGAGCTGGAAGTGCTGCAAGTCTCACTGCGGCTGTGTTGGGGTAGCTTGGCACCGCCCTCCGCCCACGCCTCAGTGAGGACTCTCCATCTTGCTTGTCACCCCACATAGGCCGAAGGATCACTCTGATCTACTCGCCCGGCTCTTCCACCCCAGCCACTTGGTCTGTGGTCCTTCCCAGACCCTCATACTGTGCCCTCACCCTGTTCTGTAATGCTTCTGTGGCTGGGCTATGAGCCCTGAAAAGGCAAGATCCACTGCTCAGTGCCTGCACAAGTGGGCATCTTTGCTAGCCCAGAGATGAATAAAAATGAAGAGGCATGGCTGGGGTTGTCCTTGTCCCTTCTGCCTCTGCCTGTTTTCTGTGTAAAAGTGCAGGATGATGATGGCATGGGTACCCTGGAGGGCACGTAGCGAAGAGAACAGCTGCATTTTAAGAACTGAGACAGGGAAACGGATTTCTGGAAGGAAAGCATCATTCCCTGGAGTCCTGCCTCCCTTTCAGGCTGGAACCTTGAGGCCCAGCGCAGGCAGGGCTGCCTCTGGAAGGTTCCTTGAAGCCTCCTGGCTGGGCACTGTCCCCTCCGGCTTGCCCTTCTCCCTCCCTGGTTATACTTGAAAAAGAGGATGTTGGACCTGTGCAGGCCCTGGGGTCTGCTGGGTAGAGGTGGCTAGGAGCATGCCCCTCCGAGCACCCAGTTCAGGGCATAGTGGGAACTTGGATGACTTTAGAAGCGCTGGCCTGTAGGACAGGACTTACAAGGTCAGCTGACCCTGAGGTGAGGAGGGGCTATGTCCAGGTGGCTCTTGGAGCCAGGGCACTCTGGGCCCACATCTAGACCACTGAGAGGCTGAGAGTGCTGAGGACTTGGGGTACAACAGAAGGTTCTCAGAATCTCACAAAGTGTCTGGAACCCCAGCTGTCTTCTTGGAGCTGCCTGAAGTCCTGGCAGCAGCCTGGGGAGCAGGGCAGGAGCCCTGTGCGGATGAGGCGCTTTTGGAAAGGAGAGGTGGGCTGGGGTGGGGGTCTGCCTCTGACCCTCCTGCTCTGCAGGGTACTCGGCTCCTGTGAGTGGGAGCTGGGGGAGCCGTCCTGGGGCTGCACGCTGATCTGGGCTCGCCTCCCTTCCACAGCCCTGGGTGCTGCCTACGGCACGGCCAAGAGCGGCACCGGCATCGCCGCCATGTCTGTCATGCGGCCGGAGCTGATCATGAAGTCCATCATCCCCGTGGTCATGGCTGGCATCATCGCCATCTACGGCCTGGTGGTGGCGGTCCTCATTGCCAACTCCCTGAATGATGGCATCACCCTGTACAGGTGAGTGTGGGCCCGGCCGCCCGCTGTCTGGTCCTTGGCAGGGGCCGGGCTGAGGGCCTCGTGTGTCTTTTCTCCACAGGAGTTTCCTCCAGCTGGGCGCGGGCCTGAGCGTGGGTCTGAGCGGCCTGGCGGCCGGCTTCGCCATCGGCATCGTGGGCGACGCGGGCGTGAGGGGCACTGCCCAGCAGCCCCGGCTGTTCGTGGGCATGATCCTGATCCTCATCTTCGCGGAGGTGCTGGGCCTCTACGGTCTCATCGTGGCCCTCATCCTCTCCACAAAGTAGCCGCGCGGAGCCGCCGGCCACCGAATCCGATGTAAAGACGCCCCTCCTCATTCCAGAACGAACAGCCTGACACATGCACGGGCCGCCGCCCCTCCGTAGTTGGTCTTGTAAATGCGCAGTGTCCTAGTGCCCATCGTCCGTCGCCCCGCCTGGCCCCCGCCGCCCCGTGCTGTGGACTTCTGGGCCCCTCCTCCCACCCAGGTCCCTCGCGCCACCTAGAGTGCTGTGTATAAAGTGTTAGGGTTGTCATTCTTCACTGGATGTTATTTATGAAGACC